CAACAGCAGCAGCTACATGTTGGTCTCTCAAAACCCCGACTTTACTGACTGAAAGCTAATCCTCATATTTTGAGTAATCAAACGCTAGTCTTAACTTTATATCTCTTTCTAGAGAAATTATATTCAATCTCTGAGTTCTAATTGGAGATAGTTTTGGAAGGAAATTTTCGATGCACAAACATTGGCACTAATGAGTGAATGAGTTTTGATCCAAGATTGGTATTTTTTTACAGCCTGTAAGTGCCTTTAACCCTGTTGTGGAGCTTATTCAAGCTTATTTTGCTCTCTCTGTTGTTTGTTTTTTTTCAGCCAGGCCAAGAATGCAGTCTTTCTTTCATAATGGTTGTTTAAAAACATATCTGAATGAACAGAAGTATGTAAATGATTATATTTAGACATAAAACTGTGTTGTGTGAAATGTAAATGCTGGAAATGTTACCTCCTGTTTTGTTAAATATTATTTATGACTTTACTGAAAGGAAAAACTGTTAACTGTAGTAAGGCTTCTTCATTTACTCATATAGTCAAGGTACAAAGACTTAGATTTTTGGTTTACTTCCTAGGGAACTACTGAACAAGCGTGAATGTTAGCACTCATGCTTTGAATGTGACACCCTCCTCCGGTAATAAAGTGTTTTTTTTTTGCAATCACGGTTCAAGATTTTGTTTTTTTTTCTTGTGGGCTGCTACAGTTGTTTGGGTCCTATTGGATCAGTGAGCTTTTCCAAAGGTAATTGCATCCTAAATTAATAAAGGAATGAACTGTAATTTGGAAATTAAAAGTCTAGTTATGGCTCAAGGTTTGTCTTGGAAAAAACTTTTTACATAATTGGTACATTTCCATTTTATAGTACAACTATATGATAGGAATAGCCTTCAAGAGTGGAGAGAGTACAAAAAAAAAGATACAAGATTAAAAAAAGATTGAGCTGTCATGACAGATTTACAACATAAATATTCGACTACTTAAGAAAAAGGGGAAACTATAAATGTGCATTAAACACACCAACAGAAGATAAGAATGAAAAAGACTAAAAAGAGATAAGATATAACTGGGAAATTCTTTTTTGCCAGAGTCCTTTCATCTCCACCACTCTGCACAGAGTTGGGAAGGGAAGCATTATCCGACGGCTTTGTCTGTAGATGAGCCACTGCATAAACCAACTAAACCAGAGAACAACCATAGTTATGTCTCAATTTCGACTTAGAGGGTGGTCCACTCAACAGCTTCATATTGTGATAAATCGGCATAAACTACTGCTAAAAATGTTTATACACATATTTGTCTCATGGCATATAGTTATCAATTAAAAGCAGAACATAAGATCAATCACTAGTTCTTAATTTAAAATGTCAAAATTGTACTTGTAAGTAATTGAGAACCCCTACGGACATGGCATGCATTGTACATATCAGTTGTCAAAAGTTTAAACTCAATTCAATTGTCTTTGACAATTGAATTGAGTTTGAACCAACTGAATTGAATTGAACCAACATTTACTTAATAAAAATCTGAGGAAATTTGTTTTTTTTTTCCACAATCTAATCCATTTAATAATGGGCGCAGGAACCAGATGATAAACAGAACTCAAATGTTTTTTTTTCTTGTTTTTTTTTTTGCGGGAAAAAAAAAAAACACTTTTATTTTGAAAAGGACCGGAAACTGCGTCTTGAGCCGTGGAACATTATAGAAGGCTGCTGTTGTTAGGCGGTGTGGGGGAGAAACGGCTAGTCGTGCGTTGTGCTTTCTCAAGATATAACATTTCAGCTCAATCTCTCGCTGTTGCACACATTTTAAAGTCGTTTCGTTTCTCTCACTCTATAATGAGCGACAACGAAAAGGAGTTCAGGGAGCAGGTGAGTTTTATATTTAGAAAATACCGAGTTTCTTCGGTTAAGAAAAAAAGCGGCTAGCTAATCTCACGGTTTCAAGCCGATGAACGCCTGAAGAGGTTTGTTTATTCGAAATGCTTAAGGTTTTTTAAAACTCCTGCCTGTATATAAGATGTAATTGCATTTATTGTTATTTTTTATAAATAATTAATTCTTGATAGTTGCAACAAAATCGAAAGTATAGAGTTACATCACAAGGCATGCTAGGCCAAACCATGCGGCCTTTTGCAGATCGGAGAAAATGGTTCCGCCTCGAGGTACTCTCGTTTGTTTTAAGCAATGCATAACGAAAGCTAAATAAAGTATTACTGTATGTGAAACTTGTTCCTCGGTTATGTAAAAATTAACTTTGTTGTGAGCTAATTTTTCTAGGTTTTATTTATATTTCTTCTCTTTTATACCTTTTGGTTAAAACAGAAACCAACTTGCCTTATCACCCTTGTTTGTTTTTTTGTCAAGGTTAAGGTGGGAAGAAAGGAAAATGGCCCAAGACGTGTCAGATGTGACGTTTTTAATATTTGAAGCTGATGGGGTTGATGCATGCTAATGTTTTGGAAGCTGAAAAGAAGCGATCAAGATCTGGCCTCACTTCTAGTGTTGTAATGGCAGATGGTAAAAAGGGGGAAGAGGAGGAGGAAAAAAGAAGTCAGATTCAAACGGAAGAAAGAAGAAATGAAGGGTTGTTATGAAGTAATGAAGTGAACGAAGTTATGAAGTTAAGATCAGAAGTATAACTGGGTATGAGTGATCTCCTAACAACACGTTATATTTCTCTTACTGTTTCTTTCTGCTTAGCATGCTTTTTTTTTGCCCTTTCTGTATCAGACACATCACTGATTGTTCCCCTCAATTCTATTAGATTTTTTTTTTTTTTTCAGATTAGCTAATTTATTTGTATTTCTATTATGTTATGCAGTATATTATCTCAAATGTCCTGATAATTCCTGTCAAACCCTCTAATCTCCATACTGTGATGCTCCCTTTCTGAAAAGGGCGTTAAGAGGGCTGAGGGGTTCTCCCCTCCAGGCCCTTTTTGCTTTGAGACAAACTGATCTGTAAAGGGCTTCTGATACCCGTCTTTGGTCTACTCAGGACTCTCGGGGAGGCTCAAGGAGTGCATCCCCAAGGGGCTCGGCAAAATCCACCAGCCACTCTCCTGCACGCTCCAAAGATGGCTCCCGGAGATCTCGGTCCAGATCTCGCTCTCATTCCAGATCAAAATCCAGGTAAGAGTTTCAAAAAGCCTTTATAAGCCACATTTCTATGATATATGAAATAATGGTTCCCCCTCTCTTTGCCACCCCCAAAATAGATCAAGGTCCCATCGGAGCTCACGCAGGCGGTACTCCCGGTCCCGTTCCCGCTCTCGGCGCAGGCGTTCAAGGAGCCGCTCTCGAAGCTCGGATTACCGTAGACGCAGGAGCCATAGCCACTCCCCCATGTCGAATCGGCGCAGGCACATTGGCAACAGGGTGGGTTACCTCTTTGAAAAAAGTCTTAAAAGCTGTGTACCATTATAAGTCATGTTTCTATTTAACAGCAATATAGAACAATGCTTTGTTTCTGACACTTGTTTTTTTTTTTTTTTATGTTCTACATTTGTCTTGTTTTAAATACCAGGCCAACCCAGATCCCAGCGCCTGCTTGGGTGTGTTTGGTCTGAGCCTTTACACCACTGAGAGGGACCTGAGGGACGTCTTTTCTAAATATGGCCCACTGGCTGACGTCAACATAGTGTATGATCAGCAGTCACGTCGCTCGAGAGGTTTTGCCTTTGTTTATTTTGAAAACAGTGCCGACTCAAAGGAGGTAAGCATGTGTTTGGGTTACATATTTAGATCGCATTCTGCTTAGCTGGTGCTCATAATCTCATCTCTGTCAGGCCAAGGAGCATGCTAACGGCATGGAGCTGGATGGGCGCAGGATTAGGGTGGATTTTTCTATCACCAAAAGAGCTCACACCCCAACTCCTGGGATCTACATGGGACGTCCCACCTAGTGAGTGTTCGTGGAGGGGATGTTTTAATATTTTGTAAATGGGGGGCCATTTATACTTTGTACTGTGTGTATAAAGGTGAATTTTTGTGTTTGCAGTGGTGGTGGTGGCGGCGGCGGCGGAGGTGGTGGTGGTGGTGGTGGAGGAAGTGGTGGTTCATCACGACGATTTTCTAGGGACTACGACAGGGGCTATGATAGAGGGTACGATCGAGGTTATGATCGCGACTACGATCGCTACGAAGAGCGAGATTACCGATCGTACAGGTACAGCAGTCTCATAAAACCACAAGTAGATTTTCTTGTGTTTTGTTCAGTACCTCTAAAATTCATGAAGACTAACTGTTAATTTTAAAACAGGCGCAGATCACCGTCGCCATATTACAGCAGAGGTTACCGCTCACGATCTCGATCCTACTCACCACGTATGTATAAAAAACATTTTATATTTGGATTATAAATAGTAAATGTTAGTTTACGGTTAACAAGGACAAATCATCTATAATATATACTTGCTTATTATATAACTTGTGCAATGATTGAGGCTTAATATTTTTTGTATTTTTTTTAAGCAAATTAGATACTTATTTTTTGGGGTAAATGTCTAGTTCTTGGTGCATATTACTGCTCCATGCAGGCTGAGTTTCTCAAAAACTGGCCTATGTAAATTGAGAGGGGGTGAATCTGTCACCAAATGAGCCATTTTATGGTGGCCTGAGATTCCCTTAAAAAGGGAGCTACAAGCTAAAATTTGTGAGGTAACATTAAAGACTTGATACCTTATTGGATGTATTTTCTTCACTAGAAAATGATTTCATCTAAAGGATTGAATATGGCCTTGAATTTACAAGTAACTCCATGTGGGTTCAGTGTTTTGCTGTCAGAAGGCAAAACATGGAAGAGTAGCAGCAGCAATGCTACCAGGGCCTACAGTGGAGCAGTTACAAGTTACACGTCCAGTGCCCCCTGGTGGCTGAAAATTAGTATTGCTTCCATTTATTAGAGTTGATTTGATAATGGGATGCATTTTAAAGCTTTTTTACCCCCTTACCTGAGCATTTGGTGTCTTTTTCTTAATCTATGCTTTTTTTTTTCTTTTTTCATTCAGGTCACTACTAGGCAACGAGGATCATCAACAGTTGTGGTGTTAACTTCCCAATGCTTTTTTTTTTCTCCATTTCTGTGTGTGAAAGGGACTTTTGCATGTGTTAATCTGTAAAAACGTTTTATTTTTATCTGCAACGATGTCAAAGCCAGTGCTAAGTTTTTAAGTTTGAATTAATCATAGAGGTCCAAAGTTTTTTTTTTTTTTTTCATTCTTCTCAGTTGTGTTCTTTTCCTGAACATAATTCTGTATGTCAACTTAAGAAAAAAAGTCTTTTAAAATAATTGGAACAATAAATGCATTGCTTTAATTGACATGTTTTTAATCTTAATAGGATTTTTGTGTGTGGGGGGGGGGTTATGTTTCCTTTTTAGTTTTTGTTCCATAGAGATTGCTTCTTTAAAAGTAGGAAAGGGGATTATGTGGTTGAAGAAATGTCCAACGGCTGTGTATTTTTGAATCATGCACTACGTGAGTGCACCCTCCTTAGCAAAAATTCCCTACGCTGGAAACGCCTCCACTGGTAATTTTGTAAATTAAAACCGAATTAAATGTAATTTACATGTCCAGCAGAAGTTCTGCGACCAGAGCATCTGTTTTCAGACCCTGTTGCTGCTTTTGAGGGCACACCATCTTTGAAAAGAGTCTCCTAAACACACCAGCTTTTAATTGTCATTACACTGTCATAAGCAACAAAATGAACTCTGCATTTAAGCCATCCCTTTGGGGAACAGTGGGCTGCCATTGTGCAGTTCCCGGGGAGCATCGTGTGGTTAAGGGTCTCACTCAGAAACCCAGAGTGCAAGAGTCCATCAGTCAAGTCATTTTAGATGAATCTCGACACTTAATTTCTGGGGTAAATCCTCTTTCATACCTTTTACCTTCCAAATAGTAAATGTGGCATCTGTCTTTGCTTGATTGTTACTAATTATCTGCTGTATATATGCAATAAAAACACATTGGCAAATTGTGTCATCGATAAGGTATTGTGGACTATGTATAAATGACATATCCAATGTATATTTATATCGAAATGTTTAGGGTGTGAGTTTAACCTATGTGGGTTCTATTAATAATAATTCCTAAAAGTCCTGTCTAAAGAAGGCTGTAGTTTTAACTCAGAATCACTTGTAACACCGTAGACTTAAGGATAAAAGTTAGATTTCCAACAATTTTCTTAAAATACCTAATAACAGCAGGTTATGGGGCAGTTCATTTTTAATCTTTTGTTTTTATATCTTGTAAAAAAAAAAAACTCCCAAAATGTTTCACCGTATTGCAAAATTTACAGGAATCTACCAAGAATGCAGTTTCCAGTGTGCAAAATAATAAAATATATATATTTTAATCTATTAGGCGTTTCATCCAAATAACATTGTCAGGTGGTAATGGTTTGTAAAGGACAACGCTTTGTTGCTCAGTTCTGCTTTATGTTTTTAAAATATTTTAATCAAAGTAAAATATTGACAGTAGATGATAAAGCTTTGCCAAGATGATCTTATTTTCTATTATGGTGGATGGAAAGCAGCTTTAAGGTGCATACTACCGCCACCTACTGGACATGAGCGTGTAGCAACATTACAGTGAGCCGTATAGTTTCAGCAGATAAAAAAGATGGAGCCTTCCTCTGACGTGGCGTCCCAGATGCCACTTTGACCAATCAGATACGTTTGCGTCATGCCACTTCCGCTCAACTCTCAGACCTGCCTTTCTAGTAGAGTGCCTGGTGTGATCGGACAGCAGGAAAGCTAAAACCACGTAGGAAAAGGGACTAAAGGTATCATGCATGTTGTTTTCTCTGCCAAACTTTTTTTCCGGGATGTTTTAACTGACCTAAATGAATCATGGACGTTTATTTATCCGTTGCTGTCGTATACTTTGGGTGGTTCCAGTTAGCCACCTGCTAACGCCTAGCATGCAGTGTTTGAATGGGCATATAGGAGTAGTGCTGCCTCAACACGTTTTCCCCATGGCTTTTATAGAACAATCCTGGCTTGTCTTGTAAACATATAAATGGTTTAGTTGTTCTATGCAGAATCTGATCATAAAACCCAGTATGTAAAGTATGTTTAATTTTTTAATATTTCTCTTTTTAAACCTTAGATGCCTCCAAAAAAGACAGAAGCTCCAAAACAGCCTCCACTAATTGGCCGATTTGGAACATCCCTGAAAATTGGCATTGTTGGGTTGCCAAATGTCGGGTAAAAAATACACCTTGCTGATTATGGAAATAATTTTTGAGTCATAACCAACATAAATGCTGCGGTATTGCTGATACTTTTCTGTCTTTGTAGGAAATCTACATTTTTTAATGTGCTGACCAAAAGCCAAGCTGCTGCAGATAACTTCCCCTTCTGCACCATTGACCCGAATGAGAGCAGGGTGCCAGTTCCTGATGAGCGCTTTGACTACTTGTGCCAGTACCACAAGCCAGCAAGGTTTGTTACAGCTGTCCAGTGATCATCATTATTACAGGCTTCCATTTGGACCAATCACAGCTGTAATATCCGGATCTGCAGTAAACCAAGCAGATCAAAAGAAGAGGATACATGAGTTTTCTGGAAAATGGTTCATGTTCTGTCAGGTTAGAGGAAAAACATGTGTAGTTTAAAGTATAGCCATAGATGAAAAAATAGATTCAGTTTTGGACTTTTAGTTGATCATTCTATTGTAATACGCTTCATCTAAACTATTGCATATTCAGGGTCGTTGCCCTTTGTTTACTATTTTCTGGCAGATGTTCTGCCAGGATTGCCCTTTAAATAGCTTCATCCATTACAGATGTGCCGAGGATACATTCAGCAAATGATGCCAGAACCTGTTTCAAGGAAAAATTCCAATCATTTTACACACAATTTGTACCAAAACCTTCCAAGTGCTTAAACACATGACAATAGTGATGTTGCATCATGAAACAATGCCAAACTGAATTGATACTGTTATATTGATTACTGACTCCTGCTGGACCTATTCAATCCCTCCAGGCAGCCTGTTTGACAGACAACTGTCACTGACTTGATGACAATAATATATTAAGTCATTTAAGTCATCATATCTTGCATTGTATTGTCTTTAATGACATATAAATATTACATGATGTGAACATGCATCCAAAAGTGAACATGCTTTGAGTGAAGATGTTTGTGGAGGAGGATTAATTTATTTATTTTATAGACTCTAATAAAAAAAAAAATGAAGATACAAAAAAGCTTTTTTAACATCTTGAAATTTAGTCTGTCACAGTTTATAGATACTTCTCCAGCTGCAGAAAGAGTGCTGTTCAGACAAATTCTAAAGAAGGGCTTTGGTTGTCCTAGTATCTCATAGGATCCTGGTACCTGGTAATATTAGTCTATTCCGACTATCTGTTGATCTCCTGGATGGCATCAGCTGTGGCACTTTTGGTCTGCCTGCCCAATTTGATGTCGAGATTAAAAGGATATCTAGAAAAACAACAAATAAGCCTGCCTACATAATTTCCAAAACAAAGACAAACCGATAATGCTGAAAAACATCTCTGCAGTGAGTGCAGACAGCTGTTGTGAAGACGTCCCCGACTGGAACTAATTTACAATAACAGAAAATATTAAATAAATTTAAATTCAGATAGGAAACTGAAAGGAAAAGGAAGACACAATAAGGTAACAAATTCCTAATTTTCCTGTATAAGATCAAAATGGTCCCATAGGACTGAAACCTTTCTTTGACTTGTGGCTGCTCCATAATTCTTGGTGAAGGTCTTTTTGCCTGTTGCATCCCGTTAACAGGTATGCTTCCCTATAAACATCGGTTCTAAACAGCTTTTGTATTTTCATGTTAACGTTTACCGACACCGGGTTTTAGTGGATAGATGCATACAAGTTGCTGGACCCATTACAACCAGGCATCTACTACCACCCAAGGGTGCCGTACAGCTGTTGCTAAACTTTAAATGAATGAAGGAAAACTTAAACAGCCATGCTTCCATCTTTTTAATCGCCGTATGAAACGATTGAATCTAACATGACAAAGGCTGGAAAAGATGGAATGCATTGTTTGCTGTCCAAATGAGTCCTTTTTTATTTTTTGTCTCTTCAGTAAAGTTCCTGCTTTCCTTAATGTGGTGGACATTGCTGGTCTGGTGAAGGGAGCTCATACAGGCCAAGGACTTGGAAATGCATTCCTCTCTCATATCAGTGCCTGCGATGCCATTTTCCATATGACCCGTGAGTAACCTGTAGCAAAACACATTTAGGGAAAGGGGAATATGCTTCCGTGTCAAACAAAACAAGTTTGATCATTTTCTTTTTTTAAATTGTTTTATGTAAGAGAGGCTTTTGGTATGTTTAAGGTGCTTTCGATGATGAAGACATCACTCATGTGGAAGGCAACGTCGACCCAGTGAGAGACATAGAGATCATCCATGAGGAGCTGCGGCTAAAAGACGAGGAAATGATCGGCCCGATCATAGATAAGCTGGAGAAAACCGCCGTCAGAGGAGGAGACAAAAAACTAAAACCTGAATATGTAAGAAGTTCTGATTTACAGTTCTATTTAATATTCAGGTTGATTTCAGTGCATTTTAACACCAGTTGACTGACTGTTCCCTCAGGATATTATGATGAAAGTAAAAAACTGGGTTGTGGAAGAGAAGAAACATGTCCGATTTTACCACGAATGGAACGACAAAGAGGTATTAACCCGCATGCTTGATATACTAGAATTAAATAAGAAACATTTCTGAGTTATTAAATATTTTTTGTTATTGCTCTCTGCAGATTGAGGTGCTGAACAAATACTTGTTTCTGACATCAAAGCCCATGATTTACCTGGTTAATCTCTCGGAGAAGGATTACATCAGAAAAAAGAACAAGTGGTATTTTACTTTTTTTTTTTGCTTTCCTCTCCAACTCGTTTCTAAATGTCTATCGAAATGTAACTCCATAATTTAATCACATGCCGTTTTCTGATTTGAGGTTGGCAAAAATCAAAGAGTGGGTAGACGCCCACGATCCTGGTGCCGTGGTCATCCCACTGAGTGGAGCGCTGGAGGCTAAACTTCAGGAGATGGAAGAGGAGGAGAGGAATAAATACTGCGAAGAACAGAAAACGCAGAGGTCAGACTAATACCGCCACCTGTGGGTTTTGGTATTCGCTCCCTGCAGCGTCTCATCAAAAAGTAGTGCTTAATATTTATCTTCTGCTCTGAAACCAAAAGCTGTGTTTACATGGATCAGTCTGAAGAATGGGATTAAGACTTTGATTCTAACAGGATTGGAATGAGATGAGAATCTGACTGATGGGCTGGTTTTTCCCGATTGGCAGTACGATCAGCATGAATATAAACACTTATCACGATCAAATTAATTTTAATGAGGTGAGCTGACCTGCATCAGCATGGTGTCTCTGCTTTGAGTTTTTAGATGCTACAAGAATATAACAAATGGAACAAAT